TACCTTTCCAAAAATAATGTCTTTTGACCTTGGCCAAGGTTTTTGTTATGCCTGTATGTCCTCCTTGTATGGGATCATCATGTAATGTAGACAGTATTGCTTCTTTTTCTTTTTCATTTTTAATTAGGGTCACCGGGTTGAGTAGCGCTACTCTTATTGTTCGTAATATTTTATTGCCCATATTTTTAAAATTATCTATTGAAATGTATTCAAAGATATTTTCCCACGGTGCCACTTTGAGTTGGCTGATTTTTTGTTTACCGGCTTGCGTTTCAAGCCTTTGGAAAAACTGACCTAAGTCAAGGGTTCCATTAGTATACAAATCGCTAACATCATATCTTGCAGTAATTTTTTTTCCATGTTTGAAAAAACATAAATTATTATTTACATGCAAGGTCACTACTTTACGTACTTCGTCATTGTTGATGACTTCATATACGTTGGGCTTTGAAGCTTTTGTTAGAGATTGCCTAGGCAATTCTATTTGTTCTTTTCCTGCGCAGGATTTCTGTCTACTCTGTTGCCTGGTAGTGACTTTCAGGACTTTATTCGTTTTTTGTATGTTTTTCAGGTCTGTGATGGTTATTCTTGATAACGCATCTGCTACATGATTATCTTTACCCTTTAGATACTCGACTGTAAAGTCGTATTCTTCTAATTCGAGCCGCATGCGTGTGAGTTTTGAGCTGGGATTGACCATTGAAAATAGGTATGTTAGTGGTCTGTGATCCGTTTGTACTGTAAAGTGTTTACCATAGATATATGGTCGAAAATGGGTAATTGCCCAATGAATTGCTGCTAATTCCTGTTCTGTAGTACTTTTGTTACTTTCACCTTTTGTGAATGAACGTGATGCATATGCTAATGGGAGTTGGAGTCCGTTATGGTTTTGAGTTAAAACCGCTCCACATGCTTGTTTACTAGCATCGGTGATTAAGCAAAATTCTTTCTGAAAATCTGGGTACTGTAACAGAGTGGGTTCCATAAGTTTATCTTTTAAATATTGGAATGCATTTTGACATTCAGTTGACCACTCAAAGGGGACATTCTTTTTACATAATCTAGTTATGTGCCGGGAATAGTCGGCGAAGTTTTTAATAAAACGTCTATAATAATTGCAAAATGCAATAAATCGTCTAGCGCTGTCCGCATCATGTGGGACTGGATAGTTTTTGCTCTTTGCCTTTATAGGGGTTGTTGCTCATATTGCTCATATTTTTGAATTCGTTTGTTTCTCGTTACAATTGTTTTTGGTTTATACTTTTGTTCATTTAGAATTTGCCTTAAACATCTCTATGGTTATTTTTGTGGACGCACCTCATCCATTATGGTCCGGTCCGAGACGGTTGTGCCCATCCTGTCCAGCCAGACTCGGACCGTACCGCAGTGCCACCGCCGGCCGTTCTCAGCGCGCAAGCCCCTTAGGGCGGAGGGCGACGAGGGGGCGCCGCTCACGAGAGCGTGCTGCTTGTGCTTTACCATCTGATGGACTGATGGACCGTATTGGCCATTGGCCACTGGCCGTGTTGGAAGGCCTTGGCCTGACCCGGAGCTGGTGCTACCGATGCCCGTCTACCCACTGATGGCTGGGTCGGGGACGTAGAGGAGGCGGTTCCGTGTGGCACGGGGCTGTGGTGGGGATCTGGCGCGTCGGCGATTACACGAACGGGACACACACACCAATGCATTTTGAAGATTAAAAACTATTTTTTTTTTTACGATTTTTTTTCAGAGTTTTTGCAGCTGTCCTGATGACACACGATGATGAACATACATTATCTACTAGGTCACATTTAGGTTAGTCTTTTTTTTTTTTTAGTGTATTTTTTTATGTATTCTTTTTTTTTTAGTTTTTTTTTCGCATTGATATACTTTGGTCTGATATTCCTCCTTTGTCATTGCCAAGTCCTCTATGTTCGTTTTTAAACTCTATCTAAATTGTTTGCCCTACTCATATATTTCTTTTTAATTATCTTATTATGTTTTACATACAATGTTAAAAGGAATTGTAAAACACTGACAATGGTTAAAATCAGAAGTAATAACCAGAGTGCATTGAGATCATCCCTGTGGTCTATTATTTTGACATTATTGACCACATTGGCCGTATTGTCTTTGGTCTGACTATCGTCAGAACCGAACCAACCCATGGTGATGATTTTCTCTCAAAAATTGGTTTCTACAATGTTGGGGTTTATTATTTTTTTTTTTTTTTAATTATCTGCTATTCATTTATTCTTTTCAATAATAAAAAAAATTATTAAAAAATTTTTTTTTCTCATGGACACACATATCTATATACCCTTTCTTTTTTTTTTTTTTTACTCTTTAAAATTTTATCAATATAACTATTATATATGTTTTTTTTTTTAATATTTGACCAAAATGAAGGAAGGAAAAAAAATGTTAAGGGACATGTGATCGATTTACAGGTTTTTCATTATATAATTCAACATCGATCACATGGTTTTAGTAATAGCCTAACAGAGGTTAGTATTTTCAAGTTGCACTTTAAGGGTGCTTCAACTCGAGTTAGAAAATTATAATTATTGGCAATATGAGGCATGGCATTTCTGCAGCTCATTTGCGTTTCTTCGCACCAGTGCGAAGTTGATCCTTTGTTGGTGGGGGGGTTGGTGTATTTTTTCTTTGTCGTGCCCGGTACTCAGCTATTGTGAGTGGGCGAGGTCCATCGTTTGGGTACACTTTTAAAGCCTCTTGTAGGCTGAGTGCATCCCTTTGCTCGGTCGGAGCAGAATCTGTTGGTCTATCGACGGTGCAAGGGGCGGTCCTATACCACTCGCACTTATATTATTGGCCTGTTGGTCCATCGACGGTGCAAGGGGCGGTCCTATGCCACTCGCACTTATATTATTGGTCCTTGCTGGGTCTGGTGGGGCCGGTGCTGGTCTTCGCACAGGTTTTATGTTGCGTGTACGCTCTTTGTAGCGCGGGCTGTTAAATCTCCTTGGGTATTATATATTCCTGGCCGCATTGTAGTCCCCAAATTTAAGGGTATAAATTATAATGCAACATGGGTTTGTGCGTAATATCGTCGGCAGTCGTGCATGGGTCTGGCGAAACGGCTGGTTTGGCTTTCTGCTGTGTGTTTTCCTTGGCACTGGCACTGGGGACAACACTATTTCAATAGTTTTTCCAATTCATCAATTTTCTTTTGACTTGGTCCGATTTTTTAAAACAAAATCACATAGTATTTTATTTTTTTTTTTTCGGCCATTCTTTGTCTTTATTATTTTTAACACTTTGTTTTTTGAAAAAATTTGTGTTTTATGTTCTCAATTTTACAATTGTGTTTTGGGCTTTTGTAAGCCAAAAGCCGCGGAGCTGCGCTGCCAGTGACGCCGGCAGCGGAGCGGCAGAACTATGTGTTCTTATCTCTTATATGTTAGTATGTATATGTGTGAATATGCTCAGCGCTGTTGGCAGCGAGAGCGCGAGGGAAGATATATGTGTGTATGCATGTATATTAGTGCCGTCAAGTCATGGGAACATGCTGACGCTGCACTTGGGTCGCTCGAGGCATTCTTGAGTGAATCGTAATACGATCACCCAGAATGTCCGGGACTTTATTGTTACGTAAACACTGAAACAAAGTGTTACAGTGTGTATTCTTTAAGTACCGTCGGTACAGTGGGTATTCGAAATAATGAATACTTTACTTTACTTTAATATGAGCATACTACAAAACAAACAATGTTCTCAGCCGAAGCAAGTTGTGAATTACAAATGTTTCACAATAAAACGGACTCATCATGTCACCTAGTCAACACAAAAAAATCATTTTTATGGTTGAGCATAAAAGAAATCGATGGATTTTTGCAACAAAGTCATTATTAAAGCTGTCAGCGGTATGTGCAGATGGCATTTCGAATATCAAGTTACAACACTCAGGAATATTGAAGGCCCAACCCGGATGCATCATTCGGAATTCGCTAATGACTGTCACAAGTCAGAGCGCATTGGAAACTATTCTGCAGTTATCATACGCTCGTTTCGGAGATAGTGACCTCAACGAAACATTAACTGAACATTCTACAAATAAAGTTTCAAGGAACGATGAAAAGCTGAACTACAAGGATCTGTATCAAATGGAAACGAATCTGCTACCACATAAAAGTTTCAAGTTACCCCACAATCTTGAAACCATTGATCATCATCATATTGCCATATACATTGCACTGCTCTTTATCATGATTCATCTGGTTAAAAGGTGGTACACAACATGACCCCCTTCTCAGCAGAGACAAACACGTAGCTCATCAGCTAGTGAAGAAAACGCACCAAGGCATCCATTCATAATCAATATTGATGATAGTTGAGCATACTATGTTCAACGGTCGGGAGGATGTACGATTTCAATTGAAGTACAAAATCGTATGATTAGACCTAGACAAATAGCTAGCCATAAAAGGTTAAGATTTCCCAGCCACCTAAATAAATAAACGATAATATGCTCTAAATATCAATATGTGACATGCACTACTGACCTAAATAAATATACAACGGACAGCTGCATGCATTTGTGTACATACACTGTTAAGATATTTACAACACTATCATTAAACAAATTCTGGATGACCAGCATGTGGTCAAATCTCACACCATCTGCATGAGACACATTGTGACCGTCATAAATCTGACCCTTGGAATATTCCACTGGTGGATTTGTAGTAATTGCTTAGTCCTAAATAGATATAACACATTTCCCTAGCAATATTATACTCAGAACTAATTAAACATACCTAATATCCTCGCATTTTACCAAATAAAATCAGTACGAAAGAAAACTCGTACGTATTCACATCTCCGAAGCCCAATTTGTTCAAGTACCGATTGCGGCGACCATTTGTTACTGGTACATGAACCAGTAGCATACAAAGTTACATTTTCAGCAAACTATTGTCATATTGACAATCACCAGAATCAAGTGAATTTACATCAACAGATTCATTTGATTTGTTCACATTGTTTTGCCCGAAACAAAAACGCCGGTTTGGATCCATATACCACGGACAGAGGGCGGTACACGTCGCAGCGCAGCGTTGGCTTGCGATGTCCCAAGGCCCCAGAGCTCAGTACCGTGGAGTGAGTTCTTTGCGCATTTAAATCCACTAATGAGTGCAGCAGTTTCCTTTTGCTCCCTACAGCCTGACTATCGACCTGCAAGCTCCATAGGACCCATTAAGCAATGCAACAGCAGCAGCTTGCTCTGCACTGAACAGGATGCCATAGCCAGCACAACACCTCATCTATACTCATACTGCACTCGATTTCTGGCAGCTCATCTGTTTTCATATTCTGAAGCATGGACACGTTTGCAGAAGGATGGGTGTCATCTCTGGGCTGACTCAACTCTGAAAAGATAGACACATTCTCTTTTACATCCTTATATCGTAGCTTTGATGACGTGGCACTGTTAGTCCTTGAGAGTTGACTACGCATATATTTTTGATCACCGAGCACCGACTACAATTCCATCTCGTTGCAGATCATGGCACGCAGCTCGTCACCGCTCTTAGCACTGATCGAAGTCGATACGGAGTTGGTACTAGCCATGGACTATCCGGGCAAAAACCGCAAAAGCAGGAGGTCCAAGAAAAGCTACTCAAAGCCACTCCGCAAGTCTCGTAAATCCCTCAAATCCAACAAGCCAAAGTGCAAGAAGACTGTTCAGCCACAGACATGTATTTAATGAATATTACGAATATACAGTGCAATCTCATACACAAATACTCATAAATAAAATTGTCCATGTCACTTCATGTGAATGAATATGACGACACGAAAAATACATTAGCAACTAAGAATAGACAATAGCACTTGTAATCTCGAACCCACCAAAAGGCATCAAGCAATAAACTATCTACTTTATTGCTGCCAAGTACCTAAGTAAATGCACTGAAATTTAACCCCCGCACAGAGTAAGTTTACCCAATCTAAAAATACACTCACAAGGAGCCTGTGCGTTCCTTCCCATAGAATAAGAGTACCACTGATAGCTATATAAGGAGATGCATTTGTTCAATAAAACTCAGTATCAGAAACACTACCATAACTGCCTGTCACTCATCTTCCATCGCAATCATCAGAGGCTGTCGCTGTGTCTTCAGATCCTCCCTTGCGCACCGTAGGATACCCACTCCGCAGTCCAACTGGTTCAAGTTCAAGTTGCGACGACCAAACTGTAGACGGTTTATGTACCGTATGCATCCCAGCTTCCTACACACACACACACACACACACACACACATTAACATTTGGTGACCCCGACCTTGGTCATCCTTTCAAACTGTCTATCAAGCTACAGTGAAAGGATTCGATCTGGACATCAGATTGAAGCAGTCGACAGGAAATCTTCAATAAAAATTTGGCATCAGGCCATACACTTACGGTAGCATCTCCTACCAATAAGTATCACTTTGGCAAATCTGACTTATTCAGGTTATCAGCCAACAGAAAAACAGCTGTAGAATTCGATTACCACCAAGGTAATCAATTTTTGTTGTTACGTGCGTTCCATAAATAGGAAACAGCACAAATCCCTCCATCCAACACATCACCTGTACTATTACCTTTCTGACCAACAACGGTTGCGATTTGGAGCGTATCCAGCTGCAAAGCAAATAAAACACTCCCAACGGGTCAAAAGTAATAAGTACAAACAGATAGAATGGATACACATATGGAGGCAGAAGCTGCCGCTACAATGGCAATGGATGTGCAGCAAGAGATTGGTGAGGAAATATCGAGGTGCATTCGGAACTTTAAAAAAGATTCCCAAGAACGAAAGCAAACGGCCTCTTATTTTTAAGCGAAAATATCAGCACTCGAAAATGCGTGGAATCGCTTCAACAAAAACGACTCCAAACTTCGCGATACAGACAAAACGGATGAATACTTAAAATTCCACATTCCAGCAACACATTGCGATCTTTACCGAATGCATGGATAAGCTATCACAGACGTCTAGTGCTCGTGGGGAACGTCAAATCGTCTTTAAAGAAAGGCATGAGAATCCTCCGGTAGCTCCCAAAGAAAGCGGTCTGATCCAGCAGTCCTCGAAGGATTACAGCAAACTTCTTTCACTATGTCGCCGACAAAAGGCCATAGTGGAGTACGTTAAACGCAATCTGAAACAACTTTCAGAGGCGGAAGGACGCACATCAAGTGATTTGATAAAATCACTATGGACTCAAGCGCAGGAAGTCCACTTCACAATTCATGAGGAATACGAGGACCCAGTGGAAGGAGGATATGACATGGAATCCTACCTAACACTGGAAAGTAAGGTCAAAAGAGCATTGACAAAATCAGCCACACCAAACACGGATAACGTGCATCTTCCACGCATCAGCATACCAAAGTTTGATGGAGATCTATTAAAATGGACCCAGTTCGTCGATCTGTTCTCATGCATGGTGCATGAGACCAACATGCCTACGGTGAAAAAGATGTGGTATCTTAAAACCACCGTTACCGGCGAGGCAGAAAGATTGATTCGACATATCGATCTAAAGGAAGAAAATTATGAAGCCGCTTGGGAAATACTAGTTGACGCATACAACAATCCCAGAGATGTTTCGAACACGGTACTGAACCGCTTCCTCAATCACCAAACAATTAATGACGATCCCAAGTCATTAAAAGAGTTGTATATAACAACCATAGAATCCCTTGCATCACTAAAGGGATTGGGCAGCAATATATCTACATGGGATCCGATATTGATTGCCATTATCAGAAACAAACTGGATGTAACAAATAAGGCCTTGTATGAGCAATCATTGGGAAGCTCAAAGAACATTCAGGCGCTGGATACGATGCTTCAGTTCTTGGAGCAAAGAATTCGGGTTCTAGGAACCAGTAAGAAGCCACCAGCATCAAGGAGAGAGCCAAAAGGCACGACATGTGCATCAGCAAACACAGGGAGAACGCGAGCACAAAAGCAAACCGTTGGCTTTACGGATGCGAAGAATTTCGCTCCAAATCTCCATCAGAACGACTAAATTGGGTACAAAAACAAAAAATGTGCGTTAATTGTTTTAGAACAAATCACAAAACAAACGCATGCCCTGGTCGAAACTGCTTCAAGTGTGACAAGAAGCACAACACGATGCTACATTTGGAAACAGCATCAGGCGCAGCTACAGAATCAAGAGGCCCGACGGTTGGTGTAGCAAGTAACAATAGTTACAATCTTCTGGCCACAGCAAAGATGGCAGTAGAAGCCAACAACGGGCAGGTTGCTAATTTCAGAGCACTGCTAGATTCAGGATCACTGATAAACTTGATCTCTGAACGAATGGATCAATGTTGTCACTCAAACTAAAAGACACAACATTACGGATCGAAGGAATTGGAGGTCAATCAAAGACCAGCAGAGCACGAGTAAATGTGCTCATGAAATCCCTTCACAATGGTTTTACGCAAAGAATTGAAGCTTTCGTATTACCACAGATAATAGCTGATCAACCAGCTCAGGCACTCGATTCAGAGAGCTTAAACGTACCAAGGAAGATCTCACTGGCAGATCCAAACTTCCATAAGCCAGGCCAAATCGACATGCTAATCGGAGCCGAGCATTACTACTCGCTGCTGCTACCAGATCAACAGCAGCTAAGGACAGGAGGCCCGTTGCTACAAAACACGAAACTGGGATGGATTGTGGCAGGAAAAGTCAAATCTGCCCACAATTCCTCACCCATTTATGCAACGGGAGTAAACGAGCTAATGAAAAGATTCCGGACTCTGGACAATCTAGAGACGGAAGACAAACCACGCACTCCGGTGGAAGCACGGTGTGAAGCTCATTTTATAGAAAATCTTCAGACAGCTTCAGACGGTCATTTTCCGAACACCGTTCAGCCTTGGGGGAGTCGTTGGAAACCGCAACAAAAAGATTCCTAGCGTTGGAGCGGCGAAGCTCAACAGAAACTTGGAAGAGTTATGTGGACTTCATGGAAGAGTATGAAGGACTAGGACATATGAAGATTGTGCCAGCATCAAAAGTTCCCAAAAGGCACTACATCCACATCATTGTGTACTCAAACCTGAGAGCACCACCACAAAGCTTCGGGTAGTATTCGATGCCTCATGCAAATCAACAAGCGGGAAATCTTTGAACGACATTCTGCAGGCTGGACCCACCGTTCAGAGCGAACTTATGTCCATTCTGCTACGATTTCGAATTCATAAGTACGTATTCACAGCGGACATAGAAAAGATGTACCGGCAAGTGTGGATGAATCCGGAGGATCAATTCCATCAGATGATAGTCTGGAGAAACAATCCATCCGAAGAGATCAGGTACTATCGCCTGAAAACAGTAACATATGGGACAACAGCTGCTCCGTTCCTAGCAACGAAATGTCTGGAACATTTGGCAATACAATACAAAGACAGACTACCAGTAGGATCAACAACATTCAAAACCGATTTCTATGTTGACGACTGTCTAACTGGAGCAAACACGATTCCAGACGCAATTCATGTTCGACAAGAACTAAATATTGCTACCGTCCGGATTCAAATTGCGCAAGTGGTGCTCCAACAATGAGCAACTTCTCCAAGGAATCCCCAAAGAGGATATTGTAACCGATGTAAAATTAGGAGAGACACTAGAGCACTACAGCGTGAAAACTCTGGGTCTCATCTGGATGCCGAAGAAGGATACATTGTGTGGACGAACACAGAAAAGCCAGGCTACACGCATCACCAAACGGGTGGTATGTTCCGAACTGGCCCAAATCTTTGACCCACTAGGACTCTTTGCACCGGTGGTAGTAAAGGCAAAAATCTTCATGCAACAACTTTGGAAGCTCAAACTGGATTGGGATGATGGTAAAATTCCAGTTACACAAGAACTCCATACGTTTGTAGATGCATCAGAACGAGCATATGGCGCAGCAGTATATGTACGCGCTACATACAAAACAACCAAGTGTCAATAAGACTGCTCTGTTCGAAATCACGTGTGGCGCCGACAGCCAAACAATCGCTGCCACGGTTAGAACTTTGTGCTGCAGTCCTCGGGGCCGAGCTCACAAACCGAGTCCGACAGGATCTGCACATGGACATGTGCACCGGTATGTTATCCTGGATAAACGCATCGTCATCAACATACCATACCTTTGTGGCAAATCGAATAGCCAAAATCCAGGCATTAACAAACCAGTCACAATGGCGTCACGTGCCATCGGCCAACAACGCAGCCGATGTCCTGTCGAGAGGAATCGCAGCAAGCAGACTGGCAGATCACAATCTGTGGTTATATGGACCATTATTCCTGCACGGATCTCGAGACATCTGGACGAAGGCACCCAACATAGAACCCAGCAATCTTGAGAGAAAAGCTAAACATGTAAGCTGGCCAATCACACCTAGCGCACTTGGGGATGAATTATATACTTGCAAACATAGCAACTCGTTTCACAAGCTGCAACGCATTGTGGCATATATGTTACGCTTCTGCTACAAAACCAACAGAGCGAACACCACGACGCTCTGCGCAGAAGAACTGACTCACGCCCGCACTATAATCCTGCGAACCATACAACAAGTCGAGTTTACAGCAGAGCTAAAACAGTTCCAACGCTATAAGACTGTCGATAGAAAGAGCTCGATCATATCTTTATCTCCCTTCCTAGGAGACGATGAGCTCATCCGAGTTGGTGGTAGACTTGAAGAAGCTCTACTTCCATACAACGCAAAACACCCAGT